TCCTGCTGATCTCAACAGAAATCGAGTAAGCCACATGCAATCATGAAAAATAAACCTTTAAAGCCTGATTCTGACTCTATAAAGGCAATGTGAGTATTTCCCTTGGTGTCAATAGCTTTCTGTCAGACTGCTGGGGGTTCTGCATGTTAGAGTACAAAGCCTGTGAAATAAACTAGTAAGGACCGGTCTCTGGGATTTAAATGCTTTTAATATAAACGACCCCGTGAGCTTGTCACGAAGGATGTAAAAATTCAACATCCACTGTTTTGCATGTCCGAAAAAAAACCCAAACCCAACAACAACGTGTGAGGTCTCTCTACTGATTTTTTAACAGCCTTTAAGTAACCCAAAGCTGCACTGAATTCAAGGAGGGGGGGAAAAAAAAAAAGAAAAAGCACCATTTAATTTTAAGGTCCATTAAAAAGCAATGCTTTCCACATGCAAAGGGGCCTAGACCAGCGTGAAGAAAGATCATCTCTCCTTCTGGTTTTGGTGGATGATGCAAACTGATGAACAAAGGTAAATTGTAGCTGAGGATTAGAAACAGCCCTGTCCTGAGAGCAAGGCCTGTGATTATGGAACAGTTCCCAAGGGAAGTGATGAAAGCCTCATCATTTGATTCAATTAAAACCGGACTGGAAAAAGCATCAGAAAATATGACAACAATGTTGTGCTGGCTGGTAAATCAGACAGCTTGACAGTCTGTATCTTTTGTATTTCTGATCTCTGTTGTCATATCTTTAATTGAGTTAAAATAAAGAGTACACAAAATATATTTTAAAACATTTTTCTAATGCTAATGGAGCATGAATTCATTCAGTGCTTATACATGTACCATAGGGGTTATGGATTCATGCTTCATTTCAGTGACAAAAGCAATTCTCTGAGCTCCCATTATCCGCAATAGTCTTCTTAATTAAATGCAGTTATTCTGAGGTTAAATTTAAAAATACCTCATTTCATGCTTAAAAAAGCCTTCAACAAGTTATCATAAAAATGCATCTCTTTGCAAAATACCGAACATGTGAGTCTCCTGAGAGCGAAGAAGGCACAAAAATCACACATGGTTGCTTGAAATTAGTCTCTGCACAGCTGCTTTATACTCTGGTTTTCATTATTGTAACAGCACCCACTAGCACTGCTGCAATTGAGGGTCTGTCATTATTTCTATTCTAAACATCCTTTTTCACAGGTTTAATTACCCAGCCATAACATTTAGCTCTGTCATAGGTAGAAATGGCTGGCAAATCTTGGCCCAGAGAATTTTTTAGTAAATATAGTTTGAATTGATTTGGTTGTTTTCAAATTGATGAAGAGTAGAGTAATGGGGTGAAACTTCCAACTACATTTATTGGTTTTGGTGAGTTAAAACCCCACTTCTGATGTTTCTCAATGACACCTTTTGATTTTAAAACTGTGTATTTTTCAACCTGGTTATGCTTCTCATGCATTTATGACACTTGTTGCAGTTTCATTATGGTTCAGGGCAGTAACAGGTCAGGACAAAAATGGGGAGAGCTTCTCATCCCAGTTCATCACTTGTTAGTTTAATAGAACTCAATCAGAAATAACACTACTTTGGGAACAGTACTAATTACCTCAGGCTAATGGTTATATTGGGACACTGAACCTCCCTTGAGCAGCCAATGCAAAATCTGAATTCACAAGTGATTCAGGGCTTTGGCATTCTGGAATGGGACTGAGAGGGATGGCCTGACACCCACTGCTTCGAGAGCAACTTCTCAGAGAGCGGCACAGGCTGCAGCTCTGAGAAAAGCAAAATACTTCCCCCTTGCTGGCCAGAATGAAAGCTTTGTGACAGCACAGGATGGGTGTGGAGATGGAACACGAAATGTCCTGATACAAGCAGTTACCTGGGATGCTGGAGAAGTGAAGCCCTTCACTTACTCATCTAGCTGTCCCCAGGGAGATGCTACCACTTTGTGATAAACATCATATTCTGAATCAGATGGTCTTATTTAATTTCTCACCTCTGTGAATTCATCTATGTTTACTTTTTTTTCCAATGTGTCTACGATTTCCAGCTTCCTGTCATAGATGCCTAGTAAAAAATGAAGGGATATTGGTTTAGAAAGCAAACAGTTGCAGTTTTGCATATTGTACCCTTTTTTTTTTTTTGCACACTGTTACATGATATTAACTTTCTTCTCATGTTGGATTACATTTATTTGAGGTTATCCTACACAATAGCTGAAGCATCTGACCGTATAGAGGCTATCTAAATTTCATTCTTACATATTTCTCTTGTTGAGAATCTGCACTTACCTATTCAGAACTGTATGGTCATATTTATTCTTGACATATGGTGCAAATTGCAATGATCTTAACAGTACTTACAACTAATTATTGAGGGAAGAAATTATTTCTTATTTAACAGATTAAACAGCCTTAAAATTCTGGGGACATGGGTTCTGCTTTGCAAGAGTGGAATCTGAAAGTCAGCAATTTTCCCAAGAAGCTCTGTGGGAATATTTTTACTGATTATGATACTCAAAACTATCTTTTGGTCAGCTTCTGGGCTGCTATAATGGAACTGAGAAAGTTTGTCAAATGTCCGCACAAGATTTCTGAATGCAGTCTTTGAGCACAGACACGCTATTTCTGTTGGGATTATTTTTCTCTTCTTCTACAATATATCAGGAATAAAGAGAAAATTAATCGCAGAATACATTTATCTCTTGTTGCTTAAGACATTCCTAAACTGTACATTATTAAACTATAAAACAAAGCTTAATGTTCCATTAATGTTTATTGGATGCTATTAGATGAAATAGATGAAGAAACGGAGGTGCACCGTTAGTGAAATTTGACATAAAGCACCTCCAGCATCTGCAGAGCGAGCATCTGGACAGACACTCCCTTCTCAATCTCCCATCCCAGTATGTGCCCACACTGGAGAACCACAGCCACCACAGCAGGAGCATGAGGGCTGCGTTTGGCATTTGCACACCGCACTACCAATATAGGATGATTACTCAGAGGAACAATTCTGTAATATAGAAAGGGCTGAGCAAGGGCAAGCTCTAGACAGAGG